TGATAAAAATTGTGTTAAAAGAGTAATTAGAAATTAAGTCATGTCATCTTTTTTTATAGACATGTCATAATTTTTTTATGACAAGTTATAGTTTTGAGCCAATAAGATTAAAATAAATAATTATTCTAACTAATTATACTTCTAGGATAAGGAGTCATATGACTGGTCTAGGTACTGTTTTCACAATTAATTACTTATGATTATCTTTCATCTTTCACAAAAAGAAGCCATGTGCATCACTGTTTGTAGTCACGTAGATGCCACTTCTCGGGAACTGTATTTATTTAATTTAATCTATATCTTAGAGTATTAATTTGATGCTACAATTAGTTTCTACCGTAGTTAATTAAGTTCCATCAGCACTGATCGGCAGCACTTAAGGACTCATGATCAGTTTAACAACAATTAAACTAAAAAGGTAGTAAACCAGCTAATAAATACACGATTAGACGAAGATCTTATCAATTCTCATCTATCTAATATAATATTGTTAGATTTTTTCTAAGTGAAGCTTTGAGAGGCTGTCACGTGTCACTTTTGGTATTAAATTTTTTTCATTTTTAGTATCTTATTTTTACTTAATTTAGACATCTATCCCTCTAGATTTTAAAATTTTTGCATTGATTTTTTAAAGTAAAAATGTGATATTAATATATTAACTTAAAGTAGASATTTAATTAACATCAAATTATCTTCATAAATTAATTAAAACATATAAACCATATTCTAATAGATAACTGTTTTTTTTTTCAATATATCTTTTCAAATTCTTTAAAATTTTCTTTTAAAACTTCCGAAAATCTATAATATTTAACTTTTTAAATTATTTTCATAGTTTTTAAACTCAATTTACTAATTTAACTATCACCCTCTAATGCAATTGAAAAAAATTTGCGTCGGACAAGGTAACTTTCGTAACCAAACTCTCGAAAGAAAAAACTTCACTCCACCACACATTGTAAATCCAGAAAAACAGAATTACTTCACCAGTGAATTGATATGAAAGATAAAAATCACAGCAAAACGATAAATYGAGTGAGWCAAMAATACAATCAAACATCAYTTATTCTCTSRTTATGATTCAAGGTTCTAATAAAATAAATAAAAATATATATTCCAACATCTCTGTTGAGATGATATAAATGTCTCGATAGAAGCAAAGCAGACGTATACATATGTGATGCAAAAAATAAAAAAACGACCAATAATGTTTTCAGGAAACCGTAGTGGATATTGGTTTAGACATTCAAATTAAGGATTTATGCCATAGAATATGTTTTCCATATGCTATAATTTTTATCAATAAACGGTCTATTTCTTTTTCTATTTAACATTGTATATGTCCAACAATTTGCTACAAATATTTAGTCTTCTAGCTTAAATAATTTTTACTATAAATACCAAATTAATATAATATTAAATACATAAATAATCAATAACTATAAAATTTTAATATTAATTTTAGCCATGTTAATTTTTACCCACGCAACGCGGGGGCAATTCCTAGTATTTTATATTCGTAATGTGATTTTACTACCACTGCATTGTGCAATATGGATATGCATGTTATAACAATGATTGAGATTGAAAAAAAAAA